CAGGTTTCACAGAAAGAGAAGCAAGGCTTGTGCCATGTTCAAATGGGAAATCGCAGAAGGAAGCCCCATGGAAAGGACTGGGAGAAGCCGTACGCTCTAGTGGAATGGGCAAGTCCAGAAATCCCGCATCTTTAACTCTAGATGTACCAATACTTTGTCACATTGCTTTTAAAATGAGGGGAAGCAATACCCATGCTACCAGAGGACTATGAAAGTTAAGTATTATCTTTCTACCCACATAATGTTGCATAAAACACAGAGGCCTGTGCCCACAACTGTAACTCTGTCCAATATTATAGCTACGACAGTCATTTGACACCCCACATGCAATAAGGTGATACCCATTTATAGCTGGGTTGACAGAGGCTGTCCTTCACCACAGGTCAAACCTGTGCCTTTGGATCTCACTTGTCTGCGACACTGGGCCAAACAGTGAATGTACTTGACAAATGATAAATGCAACGTTATTAGTGCTGCAGGGAAGTGTGAGAGCAGCCCTACAGCTGCTGCTTCTTTCTAATTTGAAAACATCAACCTATCAGGCAAGGCGCTGGCAAAGATGCAGTCTTTTTTGAGATCTAAAATGGATGTTCTTGCTGTGAGGGTTGTTAAGGACCTTTAAAGTAGGAAAAATGTAGGAAGGCTTAGATAGCCCTGGAGTTTGTGCAAAATTCAAAGCCAGATAATAATATACATATGAATTTCAGCTAGCATAATGCTACTCTATCCTATTATGCCATTTTTTGATGCCTGCTGACAAGAAATTTAATGGAGATCATAGCATTTTCAGTAGAAAGATCCCTTCTGAGATTGTATTTATATTTATTTACAGCCTTTATGTCATCTTAAAGCTACCCTCTCCTGGAAGAAAGGGTCTACTGAAATTATTGGAAAATAATAAGTTTTGCTTGAATTCTGTAGAAAGGTTTGATTTCATTTTTTGATTACTATTTGTTCACGTACAGCGCAGACACAATATCTCTGTGTTTCCTTTTGATTCTGTCATCCTGCTCTAATGACTGATTTGGGAAGGTATAAATATCTATTAAAAACAATTTCTTAGCTCCAAATAATTGTCTTCACAACGAGAAATAAAAGGGGTTGGTTGTGGTGCCCACAAAGACACATGACACCAGTGCTTTTGCAGCACAAATTGTACGTGGGTGTGGAAAGGTGCCCATTTTTTGAACATGCTAAGATGCAGACTGCCTTGCTAGGAAGAGGTGCTGATGAGTGCTGGCTGCTTTGTCCTTCACTCTAAAAATAAGGGCAAAGCGAAGTTCTGCCATGAATTTCAAAGGAGCCAGGCTTTTGCCCCAGAGCTCCTTCCCTGATCTGGGACACACCCCCCCACTCCTTTAAAAGCAACAACAAAACCTACATAACGTGTATTTTTTTTTTTAAATCTCACAGTCTTGCACCTCCAGGAGCTTCTTCTGCAAACTCTGGCTTAGC